CCCCCCCCCCCCCCCCCCCAGTCATGGGGCTGATCATGGGCTCCTTACCCCCCAGGATTAAGCCCTCGGAACAGTGCGGACCTTTCCAGAACCTGACCACCATGTTCCAGTCGGGAAAGTTGTGGGTACAGCAGCTGGAGAAGCAGAACCCCAGGCTGGCCTGGCTGGCCTGGGTGCACACTTACCTGGTGGAGAACCCCCTCTTTCTCTTTGTGTCTGCCGGAATCTTCCTGTAAGTCTGGCCAGAGGGCAGCGCTCCGCATCTGTCTGAACTCCTCATGCTTGCCATTTGATATTCTGATCGCGATTCTGCCGTGATCTCAGTGGCAACCTCACAGGTCGCCACTGATCCTTCTGTTGAACAGAGTGCTGCCATCTGCTGGCCGAATGACTGTAGCACAACTGTGCCTGTTTCAGGGTTGTCATTTATTTCCACACCCAAGTGGTCGACGGGCAGCGGAAGATCATCAGCCTCCTGCAGGAGCAAATCGAGAACGTGAGTGAGGCAGAACCGGCCCGTGAAGCTTGGGGTTGACGTTGTATGGTTTTACCGAGCGGCTCGTCCCTGAAAACAACTACCTAGAGCAGGGGTGGCCAAAGGGCCGGTGTGTATGCGGGTTTTTACTGCAGCTCCCTAATTAGATTACTAATCAGAGGACTGATTGGCTGAAGAGTCCTCACACCTGGGTTTGAGCAGCTGACCTGCAGGTAACCCCAAAGACCTGCACACACACCGGCCCTTTGCGGATAAGATTGGCCACCGCTGACCTAGGGGTTTCCGTTGGGGCTGAGGAGGGAGTGGGTGGGTGATGTGCTGGAGGCTCTGCTTCACATGTATCTTTTGGTGTAATTCAGTGGATCACTAAGCAGCAGTTGCGTTTGGACCATGTGGCTGGGTGACTGTCTGGAGGGTCCCCGGGCTGGACCGTCTCGGTTCCGCTTACGGAGGTGGCTCTGCTTCCATCCGCAGGAGGGGTTCGACAAGAAGTTTCTCATCACCAGGCTGCAGGCTATCCACGAGCAGAAACGTCCACAGCAGAGACCCAAGGCAACAGGAAGTGAGGTCAGGAGATGCGAGGGCACAGGGAAGGGCGTACATTGGGGAAACGGGAATCTGCCAAAATGTCAGGCCCATGGCATGCAAAGTCTTACCCCTGCACTGAACCTCTGGCCAGTAGCGTGAGTAAGGCCATCTGTCTTCCTGTTTGAAACCTTCCTGTTCCATCCCATTGTTGTGAATTGTAGTCAACAGCTTAAAATGTTTGAATTGTGTGTAGAAGTATCATTTAGCAAGTGATTCCAAGCCATGTGAAGCTCTTCAGCATGAATGGGTTTCCTGATTGAAAGACCCGCCTCCTCAGATGCTCTTTGGCTTTCAGCAGCTAGCCAGGTTTCCTTGGTAACCGTGTCTCTCTCCTTTGTCCTGACGTAGGGCTCTGACGTGGACGAGTGACGCTCTGCCCCACATGCCGGCGTCCACCTGTTTGTGATCACTGTTGCTAAATGTGTCCTCCCCTCCCCCCTTGTGAGGAGGGCTGGGGGGGACACCGCCCCCAACAGGTGGGCAAAATCTCATCAGAGAGATGTATTTTTCTAAAAACTGACTTTTTGGGCAACTGCGTTTTCCAGGACTAAAATCAGTCCCCATTTTACCTCTTATTTCCTCTTTTATTCTTTAGAACAAAAGTAGCGACATGGAATTAAATTCAGTTACACTGGCTACAAAGTACTACCAAAGTTTGTGTAACATTTTGTACTATTTCCACTAGAGGGGGACAGAGAGTTACATTTTATATACCTTAATGGACATTATGTGAATGTGACTACTGAACATTGAGTTGTTTCAGTACAATTTATAATTTATGTTGTGTGTTTTTTAGAATACTGTGAATTGTATATAAATAGTTTTTCCTTCTGTAAAACTAAATCAACGTGTGTTTATTTGACGAGAGAAATAAAAGGAGGATGAGCTGGTTCTGTTACGGGGCTTCTTACTGGCTGACTGGCCTTCTGGAGGGTTAGTCTGCCAGTCTGCCTTTCCACCCTCATCAATGCATACGGTGGGGGTCACTGGTTCGAGTCCCAGCCTTGGCATAGAGTCACATGTCTGGGCACCTGAGCAGGGCCGTTAAGGCTCTGATCACTGGCTGACCCTGTGCTGTGACCCCCCCCCGGCTTACTCTCGCCTATCTCTGTATCAGAGGGGGTGAGGTGGGGGGGCAGTGTTAAAGTCAGCACTGTCTGTGTACAGGTTGCTATGCCCCCAGAGTGAAATCGGGCATCAATGGCACCCTTACATTCCACGTTGGCTGCTTCAGGTTTCCTTTTTGAGGCAGGGTGGGGTTTGGAACCTGAGTCTCACTGGGGTTTGGAACCTGGGACCACAGACTTTGCTGAACAGTGTGTTGAACCTGGAGTTTTTAAAAACAATATTCATAAGAAATTTACCTACCAGAAGAGGCCATTCGGTCCATCAAGCTCGTTTGGGGAGAACTCAACTAATAGCTCAGAGTTGTTAAAAGCTTATCTAGCTCTGATTTAAAGTAACCCAGGGTTTTAGCTTGCACTACACTAGCAGGAAGACTATTCCGTACTCTAAGTACACGCCGTGTAAAGAAGTGCTTCTTCAAATTCATTTTAAAATGTTCTCCCACTAATTTCCACTTATAGCCGCGAGTTCTAGTATTTAAACTAACATTGAAGTAACTTTTTGGCTGAACAGCATCCAGACCTGTTAGAATCTTATATACCTGGATCATGTCCCCCCTTAATCTCCTTTGCTCGAGGCTAAACAGATTCAACTCCGCTAACCTCTCCTCATAAGACATTCCTCTAAGACCACGAATCATTCTTGTAGCCCTACGTTGCACCTTTTCCAAGGCAGCAATGTCCTAAAGGTATGTTGACCAAACCTGCATACAATATTCTAGGTGCATGGGGTCTTAGCAAGGAATTATATAATCGTAGCATCACCTCCCTTGACTTAAACGCCACACACCTAGAGATGTAACCCAGCATCCTATTGGCCTTTTTAATTGCTTCCCCACACTGGTGAGAGTGGGACATGGAAGCATCAACATACACACCAAGGTCTTTCTCATAATCAGCTACCTTTATTTCAGTAGGTCCCATAAAATACCTGTACTTTATATTTCTGCTCCTTGCATGGATTACCTTACATTTATCTACATTAAATTTCATCTTCCAGGTGTCAGCCCAGTCAATAATTAAATCCAGATCCCGCTGTAGCCTCTGCGCCACTAGTTCAGTATCTGCTACACCACCCACCTTGAATGAATACTTGCAAATTTAAGCAGTTTACTGTATGTATTGGTGTCGATATCATTAATGTAAATTAGGAACAATAGTGGTCCTAAAATTGAACCCTGCGGTACCCCACTATGAACGCAGGCCCACTGTGACATTGAGCCTCTAATAACTACTCGCTGCTTCCGGTCTGTTAACCAGTTTTCAATCCAAGCTGCTACTGCTACAGTCCCTAAAATCCCTGCTGCTCCGAGCTGAAGCAGGAGCCATTTGTGGGGGACATCAAAGGCCTTCTACAGATCTAAGTAGATCACATCATAGGCCTTTTTATGATCAATTTCTCTGAAAGAGCTCAAGTAGATTTGTTAAACATCACGCCCTGAAAGGTGAGTGTGTGTGTTTGTATACCTTGCAATGAGGCGACCAGGGTCTGCACCCACCCCAACCATGTGTGGGATGCAGGAAGTGGTTATGGAAGATGGATGAATGCTACGTAAAATGGTGACATGGGAATGGCAGGCAGGTGACACCAGCACGGACACTTGTTTTTTTGCTGTAGTTTTATGTTGTTTTCTTTTTTTACATTTGTTATGAAAACATGCGGTCAGAACACAAAAGAAAAACATATTTACAATTTACAAAGAATCACTTCTCTGTCTGAATAGCACTTATAAATATGATTTACATAATAAAATAAATATGTAAATTTACTGAAATAGCTTGTTTAAAAAATATGTTACAGAACAAAATAGAATTACTTATACCCCTTTTTCTGCTTGTTACGAAGTCTTTATTAATCATATATAAAATCATTTGTCGCGATGTGAAAAGTGGCTTTCTGTTAAACGTGTTTTAACCAGTCAACCATGTTCGGTAGAAAAAGCTTCTGTAAAAGAAAGTAAGGTTCTGACCTTTCCTGGGGGAGGGGTCAGAGGTCAAGGGGGAGGGGTCACCAAGGACGTCCAATGGGATGATAGAGCAATGCGAGCCTTTCATGACCCGGACCCTTTGCATCCACGACCCACCATACAGGCCATGCAGTACATAACCTGTCACTAGCTGAAATGGGGGGGGGGGGGGGGGGTTCATTCAGAAGCCTGGTGTTACTCTGGCCACTGGAATCCACATGGGGCTTTCTGGCCTGCAGTTCCCCAAGTGGCCAAGAGAGGGACCATACTCACAAGATTACCAAAGCGTGGATGGAAACAATTTTTTTTTTAATTATACAGACACCAGGGAATATTTAACTTTTTGGCTCACTCTGGCCAGTCACACCTGGACTGAAAAATGAAGGTTCTGAAACACTGGTACAATGTCAAACTAATTGCGCTTTTCCAATGGAACAGAGCCGTACCGCGAAGAGAGACAACTTACAGTGCGGGTTCCAGCTCGATTTGGTTTTCCACTGCAGAAGGGTCGGGTTTGGAGAGCAACAGTGACGAAAAACCAAAGAGACGCTTATTTACTGTTCACACCGATGTGCATCATGAATTACAATCTGCAATTATTATTATTACTGCACTAGCATGTCTGTGAGAATCTCCATGTTACGTTGCCATTAAATGCCAACGGGATTAGCATTCGCTTGTATAAATCTGCATTACGGATCCATTCCGTTCAGCTGTTCTATAGCACTGTTAATTGGGTGGTTGGAAATTTTCAAGTTCCGAAATGTCAGTAATGGATCGATACATCGTGATCTGTGACACTACTAGTAATAAATAATGTGTAGAATATGCCCTTTTTCCTTAGATAATCCACGCGCAGAGCACCGGTATCTCCATGCATTGCGACCAATCAGATTGTGGTGACGCGAGCGGCTCTGGTCACGCATTCGGCCCTGATAGCATGCAGGCCCATATCAGCCCGGTACGGCTCACAGAAGTTACTATGTAAGATCTTCGTGGCACGAGTCGGTTCTTGGTGACAGTGGAAACACATCTCTTACGGTGAGTCCTCCTCAAAGGCAGAACAGATCATCTGTCACCTACAGAGTTACAGTGTCTGATTGGCTCCATTACAGGTGCATACTTATCCATATATTTATTATACCTTATAGCTTTTTTCCATAAAGGTGTAGAAAATGATTTAAAACGCGATATCCTTAAAACGGGATTACATTTGTCACATTATGTGTTTCTTTCTTTAGTCTTTTACGACCAAAAGATAATTTTGAGAGGAATTAGCGGAGGGTTGTGACTGGCCGTGTTGTTGCCATGGTGGCGGCTCCCTGTCTTAGGGTCCAGTCTCTCTGGTTTGGGGTAGGCCATAGGGGATGGACACTGGTGGAGGGGGTGTGGCTATGTTAGAAAGGGGCGTGGTTTGGGTTCGGGGAGCAGGAATCAGGGTAGGTGTGTGCAAATTTTAAATAGAAGAGAAAGAAGACAGGCTGTAGATGGGTGGAAGGTGATGGTTGGTCAGCTGGTATGATGGACAAATGAGAGGGAAGGGATGTTTCACTGAGAGGGCGGGGCTTCTGGCTGTCTGTTTAGCTGCCAGAACTGAGCATGCCCAGTAGCTTCCCGGGGTCCATGCCCTGCTGCTGGGCCATCTTCTGCACATCGAAGCCCATGTGCATCAGGAACTGTACCACGTTCATCTCCTGGCCCGTGAACTGGTCCCGGATGGTGGGGCAGGTGGGGTTGCAGTGGGGCCAGGGGCAGCTGTCAATCAGGTGCACCGGGCAGCCCTTAAGCGTGGACTTGTTCTTGCTGCTGTCTTGGAGGCTTCGGTCCCAGCACTGCAGAGCCCTTGGCAGAGAGACTCCCTTAACCTGGACATCCATCCAGTACCTGTGGGAGACAGGGAAGGGGCTGGGTTGTGGCTGTCAATCAAAGTGACTGGGTGTGGCAAACCCTTCACAGCTGACCTGATCCACCCAAACAAACGAACTTCCCATTTAGACAGGAAACAGACCTCAGATCTCTCACGCGCATAACACATGCTTGTCCCCAAAGCAAACACACTCAGTCAGGCGTCAGCTAAGCGTGCACACCTGACAAAAGCACACATCCCTCCGTGCTCAGCCTAACACCCCACAGAGACAAAGACACCCAAGGACAAGCGTGGGCAGACGCAGGATCTACTCACGTCCGGGTGATGACTTCATGAGACAGGCAGGCGGGAGCAAACATGGCCCTGGGGGAGGAGGATAGGCGGCGTTTACATTCACATCAGCCATGTCGTATCAGCACATCTCAGTCATGCTTCTTATTCTATTAGATAATAAATGTATTCATTCATTTATTTTATTTATTATTAGGAAAAAACATTTTCTTTCGTTTACTGTGCCCAGTACCATGTGTTCTGTTACTGTGCTCGGTGACTGCATGTTCTGTTACTGTGCTTAGAGATCATGTGTTCCGTTACTGTGCTCGGTGACTGCATGTTCTGTTACTGTGCTCAGAGATCATGTGTTCCGTTACTGTGCTCGGTGACTGCATGTTCTGTTACTGTGCTCAGAGATCATGTGTTCCGTTACTGTGCTCTGTGACCGTGTGTTCTGTTACTGTGCTCAGTGACCGTGTGTTCTGTTACTGTGCTCAGAGATCGTGTGTTCTGTTACTGTGCTCAGTGACCGTGTGTCCTGTTACTGTACTCAGTGACTGCATGTTCTGTTACTGTGCTCGGTAACTGTGCGTTCTGTTATCGTGCTCAGTGACTGTGTGTTTGTGTACTCCTTACGGGACATCCTTCAGTGTGTTCCGCAGCTCGTTGCCCAGGTTCTCGATGTAGCGCCACTGGCCTTCCTGGACCGGCTGCCCCGTCAGGTGGATGTTGTCCACGGTCAGCTGGGCCTCATCAAACAGCCACTGCACCACGAACACAGGGCCTGGGGAGGGGGGGTAGGGTCACAGCACACACACACGGGAACACACACATAAATGACATACATAGCAGCATAATGCAAACAGTGGGGGGGTTGGGCGGGGTGGGGCTATCTCACTTTTTAGGGTGGGGTACACCTTGTACCCAAAGAAGCAGTTCCACTCCTCGCCCTCGTGCTGTTGCCGGCATCTCTCTGGGACCACACCGTTCCAGTACCTGTGGGTGCACACATCCCATGAGGCTTTGCGGGTAACAATCTGAGGTCGAGTGCATGGTGGGAGATGGGGGGGGGGGACTCACCTGATGCCGCGCCGGATGGCCTCGGTGGGGGGGCAGCTGATGGGGTCCGAGCAGTCGGTACAGCGGTACTGCTTGTTGTCGAGAAACCAGCCCGAGTCGGACAGGCCCCTGACCTGGATGCCGGTGTGACCCAGCTCCTCCAGCTGCTCCGCCACCCGGTCCACGTTGAGCAGGACGCCGGTGCCACCAGCACTGCCAAGGACACGCACGGCTCAGAAAGGCTCGCGCACACACACTCTCACACACGCACACGCACACACACATTTGGTCCCCACAATGTAATATCTAAACATAATTCACACACAGTCACATACACACAGACACATACATAGAAGGGTGGAGGGACACACATACACACACTTGTACACACACTGACACACTTAAACACAGTCTCACACACACACACCTGCTCCCAGCCAATAGCAGAAGCTTGGCTCCCTCCAGGCCCTTGGTGAGAAGTTCCTTCACCACCTCTTTGATGATCAGAGCCCCCATGAAGGCGTAGTCATCTGCAGACAGCGGGGTAAGCAGGGTGGGGGGCAGACACACAGTACACATCAGCGTGGCCATTCTAACATGCAGCATGTGCAGGCTTTGCAGACAGAGGTCAAGGCCCTGATCTCGCACCCTAGAACTTCCAGTCAAACATCGATTTCTACAAACGAGATAATCTGCTCTAAATTGCCGACCTGGTGAGAGAGTGGCATTGATCATAAAGACCGTGACTCTGGATCGCTGCTCTGGCCTGAGTGTGATGTGTGTGTGCGGGGGGAGAGGGATGATCGGCACTCGCTTACTTTGGTCCGTCTTGGGTGAGGCGCCGCTCCACACATCACTGGAGCAGTAGGGAATAAACCTGAAAGGGACAGAACAGCCAGACCTCATTTCCAGGCAGAAACACAGACGCCTGTAAATGGTGGCAAGGCAGGGAGGACCTGGAAAGCGGAGCTGCTCTTTAGCCTGAGAGCAGCAGAACTCAAGGGGCCTGAGCAGCATGCATACAGAGACACACACACACAGAGACACACACACACAGAGACACACACACAGACACACACACACACAGACACACAAACACACAAACACAGAGACACACACACAGAGACACACACAGAGACACACAAATAGAGACACACAAATAGAGACACACAAACACAGAGACACAGACACACAGACACACAAACACAGAGACACACACACAGACACACACACAGAGACACACAGACACAGACACACAAACACAGAGACACACAGACACACACACACATGCACACAGAGACACACACACAAACAGACTACAAACGCCAGGTTTGCCATCAAGGAACTTCCTCTGCCACAGCGCTCTGTCCTTTTATAGAATGATTACCCAGAATCCTCAGGGCCCGCTCCAGCTTTAATTTCCCTTTCATGGCTGCTGCCTGTAGTTTCCACTCAATGCCACCTGCTCCCCCTCCTCTAAGAAAAACAGTCACTTCCACCAGAGAGTCCAGTTTAACATGCTGTCCCAGATGCACTTCCACACCGAGTGGTTTACGCAGCCTTCAGCCAGCCACACAGACTCAGGTACAGGGCAGGTATAGGCAATGCCCTAGGGTACAACAGCAGGTTTGAGGTGTGACACCCTAGGGTACAACAGCAGGCATGAGGTATGACACCCTAGGGTACATCAGCAGGTATGGGGTATGATGCCCTAGTATACAACAGCAGTTACAAGGTGTGACACCCTAGGGTACAACAGCAGGTATAGGGCATGGTGCCCTAAGGTACAACAGCAGTTACAGGGTCTGACATCCGAAGACACAACAACGGATACGGGGTGCAATGGCAGCGGGTGCGGGGTGTGACGCCTTAGGGTACTACAGCATCCCCTTGTACGCCCCTGTACACAGCAGCACTGGAGGGAAAGGCCTCGGCCCAACTGGGTCTTCAGGGAGACCATCCTGTCTTTGTGGTGACTGCATGCAGTGCAGACACACACACACACATACACACACACACACATGCACTGCTACATGTATGAAAACACGCAGAGAGCCGCTTGCTCATTCATACTCCCGTCACGGTAATTAAGTCATCATCTCTAACTATCACTCCTATAATCCCTGAGGCCAGAAAGCCAGACTAACTGCGAGGAATGTGCTAATTAGACAGGGGGGGGGGGGGCCCTCGGCTTCCTGAGAGCTCATCAGCATCCAGTCTCTCAGCATCCAAACCGCATGACTGTCAGTGTCAGAACAATATCAAAACCTTTGGAACCATTTTTACAAAACAAACCATATGAATGTTCTAGTAGCATTTCAAAGAGGAAATAAAGATGATTCATAATGTACAAATCTTGATCGTTAACTAAAGTAAAAATGATTTTCCTTGGAAATACTTCTTAATCTGCACCTAAATATCATTCCAGCTCATTAAGAAATGCAGGCTAGAACCCCGCCTTGTGTGTCGGCTCTGAATGGGCGATCAGCTGATTGACAGATGGGGGGACAGAACTTACACCATGTTGGCGTTCCACCAGTGGGGGTTTTCCTCTGGTTGTGGCGACAGGATGCCTGTACCTGGGGGGGGACGGGGGGGGGGGGGGGGGGGACGCACACAGTGAGGTGTCACCAGAATATCCTGCACCTAGTGTGCACATACACAGACACGTCAGTCCCCATGACAGCCAGAGCAGGAATCACCACACCCCCCATTCTGAGCACTTGGGTGTTTTCCTGCCTCCTGGGAAACCTTCAGTCTGGGTGGAGCAGCTCTGGTGTGACACTGTATAAAATGCTGTATCTTATATCCTATCTTATAACAGTTAGGCTCTCGTGTACTTTGGCCTGCAGTGCATCACGAATGAAGCCAATATCTAAACACAGACCCCCTGGCAGATATAATGCCCCCAAAATGTCGGAAAAACATTCATTGGGGGGGGTTAATGGAGTGTCTGTGACCTTTGACCTTTATGTCACCTAGCCTGGATGGGACGCCATCGAAAGGCCATGTAAGTACAGAGCCTGGCACTTGCTCGGTGGCTCAGGAACAAATTAAATATTTCTATGTCACTCCAGCTCCGGAAAGTTACTCCATCTGAGATTCCTGCAGGAGGTCGGACTTCCAGCTGTCAGGAAACCGCACCTCACCGCAGACGCTGAGACATCCCCGCTCTGCTGCCAGCGGCTCCGCTCTTACCCGTCTTGCTCTGCGGCCACTTGGTGGAGCTCATGAGCCTCCTCATGGTCTCGTAGCGGCTGCCGCAGTTCTCCTTGTCGAAGCAGTACCAGCCTCCTGCCAGAGGGGGCATCGCCGGGTGAGGGGCACGCAGACGCGGCACAATATGGCAGCTGGCCTGTGCCCGAAGCCAGGAAAGAAGCAAGGAAATACTCCTATACTGCCTACACCTGCACCTGGGCGTTCACTGGCATCTTGACGTCCAGAGGTAGGAGGTTCAGATCCAGAAAGTACAAATCCAGACCAAGATTTTATTGCAATCAACCGGTTGAGCATAAAGAGTCAAAGTCACGGAGGACTCAGCTGGCTGGATGAAACAAAATCTTGGTCTGGATTTGTACTTTCTGGACCTGAACTACCCACCTCTGCATCTGTAATGTAGTCATACAGCAGGGAAAATGGCAGCAATAACTAATAACTAAAAGCGCTGAATAACTGGCACCTGATGCAATAGCCTGTCTGCTTTTGTTTGGTTGCGCTAACCAGGGAACAAGGCCTGGGCGGTATTACGGTAAAACAGCATACATCGACATCTTCGCAACAGAACTGTGTTCACATGCAGCTGAAGGGCTGATGGGAGCAGCCAGCGCGCCACACTCACCTTCCAGGAAGACGAGCCACCTCCTGCTGCCCTTGGACTCCCGCATGTAGTACCTGCAGTGGAACAGGAGCAGGAGGTCAGCGGTCACGCTCGGATTCGGAGAGCGCGCTCCTCCGCGACGCGGCCAGACCTGAGCGTCCCTTGCATCTGATGATGCGTGCCGGACGCGTTTAGCAGCATTCCAGACCGCTGACGGTCCCGGTCTATGCCACCCTCAGTTGGCAGGAGACAAAACCACACGCCAGCATGACCATGTGACCACAGTAAATGGGGGGGGGGGCAGTCACAACAGATGTTGTGAAATGACAAGAGGTAACGGCCCCAAACAGGGGACTGTTCAGGCACTGCGGTCCAGAACCCGTCTGTTTAAGCTGAACCCAGCAGTGCTGTGGTTAGGTGATGGTCATCTCGCTGTGGGTATATAGGCGACGACATATTCTCCCTCCTTTCTTAACTCTCATTGGCCTCCTGAGTGATCCCTCACAGCCACTCAGGAGCATGGATCCAAGGTCGGCAAAATACAATGCATCATGGGAAACTCCACAGATGCCCAGGCAGGAAGTCGGACCCAGACCGCAATGATGATGTGCTCACAGTGACACTTGTCCATCTGTACAGAACACTCCCGACTGGGTCCACATCTACATAGTGAACACTCCCGACTGGGTCCACATCTACATAGTGAACACTCCCGACTGGGTCCACATCTACANGAACACTCCCGACTGGGTCCACATCTACATAGTGAACACTCCCGACTGGGTCCACATCTACATAGTGAACACTCCCGACTGGGTCCACATCTACATAGTAAATTAGGCTGGGCGCCTTGGAAAAGGGGACAGATGGACCCCATGAATGTGACTTCTTGCCATGGGTGGTGGGGGGGGGGTAACACCTCAAAGGCCCTCAGAGATGCAGGAGTGATCAAACATGCAGGGTTGTTTCCATGGAAGCATGTGCACACCACCTTTGCTGCAACCCCCCGCCCCCCCCGTTCCGGTCGTCATAGCAACCCCATTGTTCCGGCGCATGCTGCGGAATGCTCGCTCGTTCCCGAGGACCTTGGAATGCTTCCCCTAATCCCGCCCGGGTGGGGGTCCTCAAACCCGTCTTGTCAATGTGAACATGTCTGAATGGCTGTAGTATCATTATCAGATACACAGGTTTCATAAACGGGGTCTGCAGAGCGAGTGTCTATGTCCATCCGTCTCTACACTCCGCTGTCTGACCCAACAGCACTTTGACCCATTACTGTGGAGACTGACCAGGGAACAGCATAGAAGACGTACCAGTAGAGGTGGATAGTTCAGGTTCAGAAAGTAAAAATCCAGTCCAAGATTTTGTTTCAACCAGCCAATTGAGCATAAAGAGTCACAGTCACAGAGGACTCAACTGGTTGGTTGAAACCAAATCTAGGTCCGGACTTTTACTCTCTGGACCTGAACTACCCACCTGCATATCAAACACACACCGTGATTGATGTCCATCAATTAAAGCAGGTGCATGAAAATATGTCTAAGCAGCTACTGTGAGCACAGCAGCGAAATCACTTTAAATGGCACTGATATGATACGTGCAAATTCTAGGCCACGATTCTGCCTGCCAGATGTAAACCGACATGCAGACAGACAAAAAGCTTCAGGGTTCACAGCTCCAGACCCCCGCTGCTTCAAACGGCGCTCTGTCCTAATCCAGGACCAAGCACCAGCAAATGGGCTGTATAGACAGTCACATGATGGATGAGTGCAGAAAGACTTTCAAGTTTGCCGAAGTAGACCCGCGGTGCTGCCAGCTCAGGGCTATAGCGACTGGGGCTGCGCTGTGCCCTGTGCGTCCACAAGGGGGCGCCATTTCTTTTCACAGAGAAGTTTAACAATAACAACATTAATAATAATAGCATCGGTTCTGTTGTTTTTCTGCCTAAACTTCTCATCCATTTTTTTGTCTACTGCTATATAATATTGACTTTTTAAGTTACTCTATAAGCAGGGATTGACATAACTGGTAATCCAAGTATGCATTCCCGTAAAAGGATACCATTCTGGTTATAGGGTGTATCAGTCGTAGTATAAAGGTTAAAATGCATGGTCATTTTCTGCCATGACAGCGCAAATGCAGATAAAGTTATATGCATTTCCACTGTTACAACAACAAATTGCCCCAAGTAACTTTTCACAAGGCAAATGTGCACTTGGTGTCAGTCGTGTTTATCTCTGTCCATCCATCCATGTTCTGTGACCCGTTGTACTATTATTGTATCGTGGGGGGGGGGGGGTCCAGAACCTATGGGAACAACCAGGACGGGGCACCAACCCATCACAGGGCACACTCACACACCATTCACTCACACACCATTCACTCACACACCATTCACTCACACACACACACACACACACAGTTTGGTAACTCCAATTAACCTCAGCATGTTTTTAGACTGTGGGGGGACGGGGGGGCAGAGTACCGGCAGGCACCCCCACAATGACATGTGGAGAACATGCAAACTCCACACACGGAGCCAAGGCAGAGACTCGAACCCTGAACACAGGGGCGTGAGGCAACACTGTGTACCGCTGCACCGCCATGCGACCCCTAAGCTTACCTAAAGCCTTTTTAAAACTTCGCTTTATACGATCAGATGCTGTTTCCAAATATGTTTTGCAATAAACAAATCTGAAGGGCATTTCTGGCTGAAGCAGCACGAACTTTCAGGACAGATTGGGTCGCCCCCAGGGGCAGGTTGGGTCGCCCCCAGCATAAGCCTGCTGCTCCATGGAAGTCGTGGGGGGGGGCGACGTCCAGCCTCTTGGAACCACACCTCCTCAGGCCAGTAGCTGGGGGGTGTTTGTACTGGTCACAGCACAGGACCACAGAAACATGGGACAGAGACCCTCATGAGAACAAGACCCACGATTCCAGCGTGCTCAGTAAACAGTCCTGTCCCTAAAGGCGCTGTCACTTTCCTGGGATTGGTCAGTGAGAAGTTCGCCCCCCTTGTGATATTTTCCGAAATGTGAAGCCAGAAGGGCCGCCTGCGTCACATGACCACCGTGCCATGTGGGAACCAAGACAGCTGCCAGGGAGGGGTGTTGAGGTCATGTGACAACAGGTATGAAAGCCCCCCCAATGCCTGACAAACTCCTGGCAGACATAATCCTGCTCTGGAGGAAGTCGCTTGTTCCCAGCCCTGCAACTGACTTGGGCCACACCTCCTTGTGGGGAGGAGGCTTTCATAACACACCTCCTTGGGGGGAGGAGGCTTTCATAACACACCTCCTTGTGGGGAGGAGGCTTTCATAACACACCTCCTTGGGGGGAGGAGGCTTTCATAACACACCTCCTTGTGGGGAGGAGGCTTTCATAACACACCTCCTTGGGGGGAGGAGGCTTTCATAACACACCTCCTTGTGGGGAGGAGGCTTTCATAACACACCTCCTTGGGGGGAGGAGGCTTTCATAACACACCTCCTTGTGGGGAGGAGGCTTTCATAACATACCCACATGTGCAGTGGGCAGCAGCTTGAGCTGTGCCCAGTTGCTATTTTGCCAAGTGGTGGCATCCGAGACCGCAAGCCAGTGTGTGTGCATGTGTGTGTGTGTGTGTGTGTGTGAGGCAGCATGTTGGCGTGTGTGTTACCATACGTGCCTCCGTCTGTGTGTCTCCAACTCTCTGCCAGACACCCGACACACAGAAGCACGTTGGAATTGCGGGGAAATGCAACATGCACCAATCCCAGTGTCAGGAACGGCAGACTTACGCCCCCTCCCCCCCGGCAGTAGCGCAGCGTGGTGTAGGCGCTGTGTCCTCACCCCGCTTGGTTTATATTATACTGCTGAGAGCATGTGCTGGGCGCTTTGATCAGCACGAAAACATTTGGCTCTCGTTTCGTGGCTAAAGTGGTATTTTCAGGCAAGACGTGGGCCTACTTTCAAAGGTCCCAAAACGATTATTGATTAAAGAATTAGTGTAATATGTGTCAAACTGGGTAACTGTCTTCAAGCAACTGACTTACGGTCCGGATAAAGCTGCGCGTTTGACTGTGTGAGGCCATTACATCCCTGCTGCACAGACCTTGGCGTGTGCCTGACAGGGCAGCAAATTAAGTGTGGTTTTCAGCGGAGAGCCCACACTGCCCCTCTGCCAGTCTAACAGTAATTTACCTAGATAAAATGTTATCGAAATAGGCAGCCAGTGACCGCAGGCTGACGAAGGCTCAGGCTACTGGCTCAAAAGCCCCCCCCCCACATTCACTATCAGGTTGTCCCTCTGGTGACTCAATAATTAACAAACAGGCTGCTAATTTTCCAGAAGACTTACAGGTCAGCTGATCGGCAGACTGACAGCTCACTGGACGGCCAGCTGACTGACAGGCCAGCCACCAATGGTGGCGGATCGATTGACCAGCTGACGAAGATGAGTTGGCTGGACGGCCAATGGGCCAGTGGCTCCGAAGGTGGGATTTAAAACCTGCTGGCTCAGGCGGAGGTCTGCAATAAATAAGGACCAGCTGTGCCTCGACATGATGCTGGCACCTCTAATGGGCCATAAAAGGTTCTAAACAGTCAGTGCCGAGGCAATGCCAAGGAAACTGCCGAAAGTCGTGGCACCAGTCCATGGGCATGAGTCGAGAGTCCAGGCTGGCACTGGAAGGCAACAGCGAGCCTTTGTGGATGCCTTACAGGGAACGTGCCGGAGAAAAGCACTTCAAATGCATGCTGCGAAGGCTGATGCATACACAGCACCTAAAGGGGGCGATGTAGAGACATGCGATCGGAGCCCAGGGAGATGTGGGGGGAGCTTAGGAAACGGCCAATCCATCCATCTGGACAATTCAGGCTCATGATGAGAATTAAGGTGACGCAATGCTGCCCCGATCCAGGATCCCAGAGTTTTCACACTCTCTACATGAAAGACACCCACCGGCTAAGGTGACCATCTGACTTATGACAGCTTATCAAGTTGACGCGTAGCACTGTCTTGACAGCGCTGGGTTAGCCTCCCGAGGGCTACGCCCGCAAAGCCCCAATCGCCCGAGACTCTACAGCGCTGGCTTAGTCTCCCGAGGGCTACGCCCGCAAAGCCCCAATCACCTTAGACGCTACAGCGCTGGGTTAGCCTCCCGAGGGCTACGCCCGCAAAGCCCCAATCGCCCGAGACGCTACAGCGCTGGGTTAGCCTCCCGAGGGCTACGCCCGCAAAGCCCCAATCGCCCGAGACGCTACAGCGCTGGGTTAGCCTCCCGAGGGCTACGCCCTCAAAGCCCCAATCGCCCGAGACGATACAGCGATGGGTTAGCCTCCCGAGGGCTACGCCCGCAAAGCCCCAATCGCCCGA